TTGGGGAATCGGGTGTTAAAGACACGGGCACGGAACAGGCGCTACCATCAGCCTGCCACAATCATGGTGCATGGCTCCCTGGGCTGGGTCAGCCCGGGGACCGCCACAACTAACCCACAGGGGGGTGTCCTCTGGGATGCATACATATCCGACATGAGGCACAAGTTCGTCAGGCTGGTTCACTCAGGGCAGGGGTGGTATGCTTCAGCAGCACGCATACACATGTTGGTTCCGGTCTCTGGCAGCAGGCACGTCACGGGCCTCACGCTGCCCACGAGGGTACGGCAATCACGCAGTACCGTGTTAGGCATGTGCAGCGAGGCTGCTCCTTAGTTCGGAGGATCCGAGGTTATAGGTTAGTATGCACGGTAGTGCCTCGGCCTCATTCATACGTCATGTTTCCAGAGGGAGAGACTATTGCCACAGATGGCAGGTTCGGGCCACGCACTCGCCGCCAGATCCAGGTAAGCAGACTCTGACTACAAGTATTAGGCTAACGTGTTAGCCGCATTTGTGGGAGGAGTCGGCGTCCCTCTCAGCCTTCTTAAAGAGCCGCCTGTCCAGGCTTCCGGGTGTGTTGAGCTCGGCGTTGCAACCCTCCCACCCATCCCGCGGTTACTGGCTATATGTTTCATATAAAACATTAAAACATTACACATGCTCCAGTATCTCAAGTAGGGATGAGGGAATGTGCTTGGGTTGTTTAAGTTCATGAGTTGTTTGCCAACCCATCATGTCTCGAAAATTGTGAACTAAAATCCCAATTCTGGGGGGTGAATCTGGATAATCATATGTGACCATTTTGAAAACTAATTGGCATGAGATTAACAAACAAGGGGTGTGAGATGCTGGGCAATGCCCCGGGGGATGTGTATCAATGCAAAATAAAGAAATTAAAAGTACTATTCATTGAGAAGGTCCTATTTTTTTATGCAACTTTTAGTTACAGGCTTGGGAGTTGTCTTCAAGCTGTTTCTGGTTTTGTGCTACAGTTCAATTCTCTTACAAAGCATCAGCAACCCTGCATGCTGGCATCACATAATTTGCACATTTAAATTTTTTTTTAAACTTTTACATTATTGCTCTACTTTAATATAGAGACTGCACTTTGGTCGGGTGTGCCACTAGATTCTGATCTCAATAGAGTGTTCCTTAGTGTTATTCCTAAACCCAATAAAGATCCTGTGAAATTACCAATTATAGGCCTATCTCATTATTAATAATGTAAACAAATAAATCTGCGCTTCTGGAGAAGTGATAATTAGTAATAAATTAAATAATTTAAATTAATAAATTAAGAATAAATGTGAATAAATGTGAATATATGTGAATAAATAAACCCAAAGCTGCTCTGAGGAAGTCAAATGACGAAACGCGTCTAGGAGGGTAGATGTTAATTTTGCTAGACACGAGGCTTCACGCTTGTCTCTGTGCTGTTTTTAGCTGGTCGATATTTTTTGTCTTGTAAGCCAATTTTTGGAATAAAAGTTTATGGCTTTATATATTGCGCAATGAAGGTTCTTTCTTTTTCTTTTATTTCATCTCTGAAAAACCCTGCGGGACAAACGGCAAAGTATTTTTTCTATTTCAAAAAAACCGGACTCCTCATCTGAGAGATATAGCCAAACGGCTTAGAGGAGAAAATTAACTGCTTCAGCTGCTGAGACCCGCGGGGAATACGTTTGTGCTTAAATCCAATCCCGGCACCACTCACTAAAAGTTTTCTACCAACTTCACTCTGGTGAGTACCCACCCGAGAGGGACAGTTTGGAACAAATCGAAGCACACTACTATTTTTGCACATTTGTACATTTACACACGGAATCTACCGTTCACCTGTCACTCGAGAGGGACAGTTTGGATTAATCTCAAGTACACTGCTACTTTTGCACATTTTATATTTGCACACGGAATCCACTTTCCACTTGGATTTTTTAAGCATTGGACACTGATTTTGATGTTATAAACATTGTTCGTTTATTTATTCCATCGGATTGAATTTTATTGGTTCTAATTGTTTTTTGCATTTTGGTTAGACTGGTTTTATTTATACCTTTTTATACTTATATATTAGCTTCTAT